CCGGCGTGCTCCGTCCCGGCTTTGTAGGGATGCGAGGTCAATGGTCTAACGACTACGGCATGCACGACTATGAGTACCCCCCCCCCCGCCGCTAAGTACACTGGTACCATATGTGCCCCCCCATCCCACCCATTTTCTCTTGGTGTATATTTTCATTTGTCCTGTGTTCGGAGCGACATAGTGGTGCTTTCGTGTAGTGACCATACGCTACGATGTCGGGATTTTGTTTCTATACAACAGAGTTCACCTTTGGTATTTTCAGGCCCTCTCAAAGTACTTGTTGTTCACATGCACTGTGTTTTTTTTTCCTCGCTGTCTTTGCCTCTGTCCCTGTCTCAACCAAAAGTACCATGGATACCTGGTCAAACTCTGCATGCATCCGTGAAAGTTGACTGAGTTTTTGGGTTCGCGCTCCTACTCTCTCTCTCTCTCTCTCTCTCTCTCTCTCTCCTCCCCCCCCTCTCTCCTTCGCCCTGCCCTTCTCCCTGTGCGCAATTTTCGAGACAGGGAGTTGAGACTCGAGGCGGCGTCGGCGTTGGGTCAGGTCTGCATCATCACTTCCTCGATGGCGCCCCCTCCGTCTTCATCACGCCCCCACCCACCGCCCGCCGCGGACAACAATGACAACAACGGTAACTCTTCTTCCATGTCGCACCGACAGCGGCAGCAGCCCCCGCCGTCGGAAGATCCGGATTTTTCGAGGGCCTTGCTGCGGGCGGCGCACCCTTTCTCCCTCGCTCTGGTTGCAGCGGACGAAGGAGGGGAAGGTGAAGAGGAGGAGGATTGTGGTGGAGGGGGAGGAGGGGGAGGAGACGGTGACTGTTCTGCGGTTGAGTCGAAACCGTCGTCGGAACGTGTTAGTGACGGTGCTGATGCTGATGATGGTGATGTTGGTGCTGGTGATGTTGGTGCTGGTGATGTTGGTATTGATGTTCGTGGCGGTGGCGGTGCGGCGGGGGAGGGGTTGGTGCTGCAACTCTCTCGGGGGAAGGACGAGGTGAACGCGTGCCGCGCTCGTCTGCGGAGCCTCGAGGAGGATGCGGAGAGGGAGCTCGGGCCCCTTGACGCCGCCGTTGCGGAGAGCGGCGCGAGGCTGGACGTGCTCGCGGAGCAGCGCAGGAAGATTCAGGAGCAGCTGAGAATGGTTTGTGTTTTTGTTGTTTGTGTATTTTTTTCACTTTTTTGTGGGCATCGACAACTGCTGTGTGTGTGTGTGTGTATGTGTTTGCGCTTTGTGTGTGTGATTCTTTTCACTTAGCGGGCATGGATTTACTGGAATTTGTGTGTGTTTGTGTGTGTTTGTGTTCATCCTGTGTGTTCGACATCCATTGATATTCGTGTGTTCTATAATTTTATCTACCGCGCCAACCGGACCTGACCAACGAACAGAAAGCGAGTGAGTAGCATGTGTCAACAAAGGCCCTTCGAAGGGAAAATAACATTTACAAAGACTTAAAACGTGGTTGTGCGCGTGCGTGTTTGTGTGCAAGGGAACGGCGGGGAGGCTGTGCATCGGTTTGACCCTCTGTCTGGAGGGTACTTGATGCCCGAAATGAAGAAGTTTGTACCCCATGCTGACCTGCATGATGGTATTCAGTCCCCCTTCCCCTGCCGGACCGACCTCCCTCTGTACATGTAGGCGGAGGAAACAATCGAAGCTGAGCAGCAGGTGCGCGGGCGGGCGCTTGCCGAAGCGGGGGCGACGCGTGCGAAGTTTGAAGAGCGGAGGGGGGTGGAGGCCGAGCGGCTCAGGAAGTGGGAGGACGCAGTCAGGTACCTGTCGTGTGCGGCTGGTTTGCCTCGATGAACGGGGGTTGTATGTAGCGGTCCGGCGAATGGATTGTTCTTGCCGCAGGTTGCTTGTTGGGTGCAGGCGCAATTCACGCCGTGAAGCCGGCAGTGGTGGAGGGTGGTGGCGGTCTTGTCGTTGGTGTTGTTGATGCCGATGATCCTGGTGTCGGTGCCGTCGTCGTTGTTACTCGTGATGCCCTCGTCGTCTTGACTGCGTCACTCGGCAGCCTAGCAATGCCCTCGTCTCCACCACCACGCCGGCACAACGTTTTTTTTTTTCCGACGGGATCTCCGCCTTCAGCGGCGTGATCCAACTGTTTCGTTGCTGTTGGGATGAAGCTTGCCTCTCAGTCTGCTGCGTGGGGGGGCGATCAGATACTTTCGGTGCAACGTCTAGATTTTCTATTCCCTTCTCGCTTCCTTCATTCAATCCAGCTATGCCAGGGAGTGCCAAAACATCCCGTCCGTCTACTCCAATCTCCGGAGGTACTTGGATTCCCAGCTGGCGTCGGCCTTGAACGGCGTGTTTCCGGGGGGGGGCGGGGAGGCGAAGTCTGCGAGCGCCCTGGGGGCTTACACAGATTCGTTGCAGGTAGGCTGGGGTATGTATCAACGCTCCGTGTATACTATTGGTTAGGCTGTGGGGTGACTTTTGTTCAGTTGAAGCAACATGGCTTATTTTTCTTGATTCTCTTCTTGTGCTTCTTCTTCTTTCTCGTTTTTCCTTCTTGCTATCTTCTCGCCTTTTTTTTCACTATAATGTATCATCATGTTAATGGAACCATCATTGTATTAAGGTGTTTGGTAACACGGGTTTCAGCGATCTAGCGTCCAAATCAAGAGAGGTAGCACTATGCGTGACATCCAGGGCCAGGACAGACGCGTCGACGGACGAACAGAGGGAAAAAATGGTGCTGTTGTCGACACATTCTCGTATTTTACGCCCCCTCCTACCTTCCCCCCCCGGTGTTTGCCATCGGGGTTGGGTTTTCGTCGCCTGGCAACGACCTTGTAAAACAAGCCAATTCACTTCGTGAACTCGGCAACCAGGTTACCGTTTTTTTTTTTACCTCTTTTTTTTTTTGCGGTAACCATAATGGTGGTCGAGTAGATCATGTTGTGCGGGGTGGAGAACCCTCACTCCGCGCAAGGGGGATGATCGCACCACGTTGTGTTAAAATGGTCAAGCACCCTCGAGGCAGTTACACAGTGCTTACAACTGTCTCTGGAAGTGAAAGCACCAGAAAATAAATTAATTCATACGCAGCTGTCATCCGTACGCAAGGAAGTAAGCACAAGATGCCGAACACCCTTAGCAGGATGCAGCGCACCCTTCATGCGACTCGCCGAATATCTCACGGCGCTTCGCGCTTGGTGATGTGAGAGCCTGGTCCGGTGAGAACCCGGCGTGCTCCGTCCCGGCTTTGTAGGGATGCGAGGTCAATGGTCTAACGACTACGGCATGCACGACTATGAGTACACCCCCCCCCTCCTCCTAACTTAGGGCTACCTTTTCTGTTCTTGGTCCAAGCTCGTGCGAAGAGCAAAAGAGGCAGAATCGACCCTGTATCGTGAAGAAAGCGAAACACCTGGCCTTCACCGGTCAGAGGCGTTCCTCTGTTGCCTAATTCTTCTTTGGTGTGCACCAGGACATCTGTTCGTCTGTCTCACCCGGCCTAAAACACCCAGTAGCGGCACGGAAAAGGGCTGGCTACTCCAGCTGTGTGTGGGTGGTTGGTGCCTATGTGGTCTGTAGTACGTGACCTCAGCATGGGCTCACATGAGGATCCCCCCCCCTTCCCCCCCTCCCCCGAGGTCAGTGGTTGAGCGACTACGGCATGCACGGCTATGAGTATGAGTTTCCCGTTGATCCCGTTCATTCCTCGTGTGCGTCAAACAGGCGTACTTTGAGACGGAGGCGGAGTGCGTCCGGCGACTGCGCGAGCGTGCGAGGGCGGACGAGGCCGAGGTGGCGGCCGTAGAGAAGGAGCTGGTCGAGTACGAGGGGCTCGACATGCCCACCCTGGTTAGTACTCCAACACCCAAGACTTGCATGTTTTGGCATGTCGGACGATCTGCACTGCAACAACGTCTGCATTTGGCAATAAGGTTACCTCTTAGGAGCAACCCGAGTACTCTCCTATCAGTACAACTTATTCCCTGATTCGTTTCCGCGCCTCGTCGCTTGAAATGTACGAAAAGTAGTTGAATGAAACGACGAGAGCAATCAAAGCTTGTTCCCTGTTGAATACTCTCCGAGTTAGTCTTGTTGATATCTGCCGTTTCGCGAGAAGCACAAATCCTAATTCTTGATTTCTATCGGTTGCTCTCCGACTCCCGGTGAAATTTTTTGTCGATTTTTGCTACAAAACACAAAATCCAGACGACGGGACTCCGCGCCAGGATGCAGCAGCTGCGCAACGAAGTAGCCGAGGACCGGGAGGCCGAGCATGCCATCATGTCCCAGGCCAGGCACCAGTTCACGGTCCTCGAGAGTACCCTCTCTGCCTACGACAGCACCCGCACCACGGGGTGCTTAGTTAGCGCCGCTGAAGGTTGCGGCGGCGGCGGGGACGGAGGCGTGGGTGGCGTCGCAGCGGGTATCGGTAGCGGTACCGCTGGGCTGGACTATCCCCGGCCTCCGGATGTGTCTGCGGCGACAGTGAAGAAGATCCCCGGCACCAGCGCAGCTGCTTCTGCTGCTGGTGGTGTTTCTGGTGCTAACGGTAGAGTCGGCGCCGGCAGCCTAGAGGGATCTGCTGCGGCTGCAGGCCTGGCCAGGGTGAGGGAGCTATTCGCGCTGCTCGAGGTCGTCGGCAGCGGGGAGGAGGAGCCGCTCGCCGTCGGCGGCGGTGGCCAAAGCGGCGGCGATGAAACCAAGACGGCGGCGGAGGCCCTCGCAGGGGCGGACGGCAACAACAACAACAACAACAACAACAACAACAACAGCCGGACCTTTGGTGAAGCGGCAGGAGGGGCAGCGCTACCGCCAGCGGGTACGAGGGACTCCCGTGCCCAATCCAGCGGAGTTGCTGCGACGCCGTTTGGCCAGGCGGGGGAACTGGAGGACCACCAAGGGCCCAACCGACGGCAGGGCAACAGTCACGGCAACGGCGGCAGGTACGGTGCGGTGGGTGCAGGAAGGGGGGTAAAGCTGTGGTGTCAAGAGCTATATTTTGTGCGGTCCCCCGGGCATCGAAGCTTGCTCGGGTACGCTGGAAGGGTGCGGCGAAGGGCAAAGCAAGAAGGAGAAGAAGGTCGCGTTCTTCGGCGAATGAGAACGTTTTAGAAGTACTACAGTAGTACTCGGTAGTTCTAAACACCCGATTGGATCCTAGACTCGCCCACTGGGGCATGGGTGTGAAGGTCACGAGCGTCGCTTGCTTGGCAAGTAGTATCTGTATTGTCCTGGGATCTAGGTGCCTAGGCAGGGCCCCCACAGGCTTTATGCTTCCTCCACGTTTCCACCACCCTCACGCCGCCCCCCCATCTCTGTCTTGCATGCCTCTTCTGTTAACAAAAACAAAAAACATGAGCAGGCCGCGAAACCCGGCCCCGTCGAGGATCCGAGGAGGCGTTCGCCTTCCCTCGCCGTCGCGGGGTGGAGGGAATTCGCTCCAAGGCCGGCTCAACTGGCTTGACAACGGCGGACCTAGCGCCAGCGGGACAGACAGAAGCAGCACCGCCCGTGCCCCGGAGGGCGCCGCCAACAACAACAACAACAACAACGACGCCGGCTCGAAGACCAAGGCGGTGTCGGTCTCGGCGGCGGCCTCGCGCGGCGGCGGTAGAGGCGGCAATCGTAGCAGCGCGAGCGGGGGGCGTGGACGCCGAGGGGAGCAGGCCAGCAGCAGCAGCAACCAACGCGTGGGCTCGCCCGCCGACATGCAGGATCGTGGCAAGCGCAACCAGGCGGCCGCCCGGGTGCGGAACGCCGCCGGGGGCGGGGACCGCAGCAGGAGCAGCAGCGGCAGCGGCGGCGCCGCCAAAGCGCCGCCGCCTAGAAGCGGGAGCGGCGGCAGCAGGAACTCGACGCCACCGCCGCCAAAGCTTGGAAGAGGAGGAGGAGGAGGAGGAGGAGGAGGAGGAGCAGGAGGAGCAGGAGGAGGAGCAGCCCCCCCTCCCTTCTCGACCGCTGCCTCGGTTGCAGCCGTCGTGGCTTCCAAGGGTATCGCAGGCGGGTCGAGGGCGAGTCGGCAGAAGGCTTCTTCGCCGGCGGTGCAGGCTCAGGGTGGGGCGAAGCGGCCGGGAAGAGGCGACGGCGACGGTGGCAGCAGCGCCCCCGCTGAGAAACGCTCCGGCGCGCCGCCTGGCAGTGGTGGTGACCGCTCCGTTGCTCCTGCCGGGGAGGGAGGAGGAGGGAGAGGCGGTTCGGGTGGGCAGGGCGGTGAAGACGCGGCGGATAGGGCGCGGAAGGAGAATGGTGGTGGTGGTTCAAAGGGTGACGGACGCGGGAACCACAAGAAGGGGCGCGCGTCGGCCAGGGGCAGCAAAGGGGGAAACGCGGGGAAGCCGTCGAAGCCGCCGGAGGTGAGTTTGTTGAGGTAGTTGTTTGGCTGGCCTCTCTTTTTTTTTGGCGTTCTTGGCTGGCTTCCTTCGCCTCTGCAGAGGGGTGTAGTGTACGGCGGTATTGATCGCTTGCCAAGAACTGCTACTGCTGTGTAGCACCCCCCCCGCGCGCAATGCGCGCTTCCTCGAACAATAAGAAGGGGAATTCAAAGCCAGTCACATCCATCAACGGTTGGCGAGCAACACGTCGCTATCATGGTGCCTTTTTTGCCCGTCCCTCTTTTCTTTCCAGGAAACCACGAGCCCGGACGCTGCCTCCCACTGATGCGCGCGTGCGAGGGAGAGAGAGACGACGAGGAACATGGAACATAGTCTATAGAGAATATCGTGCATCTGGTTCACCCATCGAAAAGAAGCATGTCCTTCCCGGTGGAGGGGGGGGGGGGGGGGGGGGGG